CTACTACTCACTACCACTAATAATAATAATAATAATAATAATAATAATAATAATAATTATAATAATAATAATAATAATAATAATAATAATAATAATAATAATGATAATGATAATAATAATAATAATAATAATAATAATAATAATAAGTTTTAATAAATAATAAGTTTTGGTTAGTATTATTACTTACTATTACTACTACTACTACTACTACTACTACTACTACTACTACTACTACTACTACTACTACTACTACTACTACTACTTCCACTACTACTACTACTGCTGCTGCTGCTACTACTACTGATGATGATGAGGATGATGATGATAATAATAATAACAATAAGGATGACGATGATGACAGTGATATTGATAATAGATAATAATATTAATGATATTAAATGTGAAGAAAATTGTGATAAAGGCGAAAAAGAAATCTGTAATTTGTCCAATGACTATAATTGTTATAATATAAGCGTGCGGTAATAAGCTATAGTTATGCCTAAGTTGTTTTGGGTATGACCATGAGTGGAGATCATGGGATGGGGAGGGGGGCTTGAAGTAGGTAATGTGCATCGAATACTTCAAAGACAATGTATTCAGGTTTAATTTTCTATACACCATCACACAGATTATTTAGATCTTTGGTTGCCGAAAATCGCTGATAAACGTTTATGAGAAATTTGTTAGCACTTCTTTTTTACTAGGCCTATAATGGTGATGTGATGATAATGAATTTACCGGCCATTTAGAGGTACTATTTTCAACAGTTGTAGAGAAAGGGACACCCCTTATGAAATCCACCCCGTTCGGTACTACGTACCACGCCCCCACCCTTTCAAAATCCTGGCTACCGTCGTTTGTCTTTGAAGACAAAAGGATCTGTCTTCAAAACAAATAACTTATCTAAAGGATGGTGTCTTCAATGGCTTGACAAGCCTCCAATCATTAATCAGATTCTTGATAATAAAATATGTATCGCTTGATATTTCATTTTTTATGTCAAAATTAACAATCGTCGATAACGAACAACAATCACAGACAAAAGATCAAATAATCATAGGCCTACCAACAAAATCAGTCATGAAGAACAAAATGACCAGATGAAGACTATACTCGAAAACCTCGTGTTTATTTTAAGTTAGCATTGCCAATATCAAATACAGAATATATCCTATGTGTCAATCGCTATTGCAACATCTGCATTGGCTATGCACACAGGCATGTTGTAGGTGTTAAGAGAAAATTATGTCATTGAAGATCCAATTCAATTAAGATCACTTTCTTATTTCATTTTGAAGGTATCTGAAGTTTAACAGAATAACTAATTTAAAGAAAGGTTGCTTCAATGGTTTGACAAGTCTTCAATATTTGTAAGTGACAGTCCACAATTTATGAATATATTAATATAAGTTATGTATTACATCATCACTGTCAAGTCGTAAAGTATACCACATTAGAGAACTTTCGAAAGCACAAAGACGGCTATGGAATTTTAACGCAATTACGTCACTTAAAGTTACCTGCGCATGCGATTTCTTTAAATGGTCGTTGTTGTCCGAATGTGTGGGCTTGGTTTAGGGAATCTACGTTATGCAAACAAACGCATGAATCCGTTTTACCATTACAAATACAAAGTCGCACAATTTAAAGATCAATTACGGTATCTACTCTGTACTTCATTTAAGTACATGACTTTTCATTTTACTTACAACGTCGCGCAATTCAACGATCTATAATTTACTCTGTACGTCATTTAAATAGAGGCATGGCTTGTCATTTTACCTATTATTTATTTATACACTCTTACATGACAAGTTTAAATTGTCTTAACATAATAAAGTAACTGTGTTACTGTGTACTGCTCATCCCTATGAACGACCTAGTATGAAAGAGATATGCTGTGAAAGAAGGTCCCTTTGTAATTAAGAGGGATACCCCTACTAAATTGGCGGGGACTTTTACTGAGTGTGCAAATAGTAAATTCAACACAGTTTTGAATCACAATCATGGAGACAGTTTCACATTTTCAGTTAGTGTCTCTTAAAAAGGGTTACCCTTATTCAAGGGTTACACATATAATAATTATATATTTTTAAAGGTTGATAAGTGGGTTATAATTTAATTATTTATCACAAAAAACCCTGTCTGGTACACTGTGGAACGCATCGTCTATATGGATATTTTGACATAAAGGCACCATTGACCGTACTCAGTTTTGAATCACAATCATGGAGTCAATTTCACATCTTCAGTTAGTGTCTTTCAAAAAGGGGTACCCTTATTCAAGTGTTACACATAATACTATTAGGTAAATAATTTTAGAAGTTGATGAGTTATGGTGGGTTATAATTAAAATATTAATCCCAAGAAACCCTTGTCTGGTACACCATGGAACGCATCTTATATATGGATATTTTGACATAAAGACACCCTTGACCGTATCTAAGGAACACACTAATAATTAGACTGCAATTTTAGATAAAACAAGATGTACTTGAAAAGATTTCAGAATTACCAGTCTTAAATATCCTAAGGAGGATAGGAAAAACCGTGAATAATACGGTACTTACCTGGATCAGAATGTTGGAACGACACCTACGGGAGCCAATAAAAGTCTAAAAGGGCAGATAAAAAGTAACGGTCCAGCTTCACTCCTAATTTTAATTTTTCATAGTAGTTTATCTTCTTTTTTCAAGGTATTTGTATGGTAACAGAATATCTGATCTAGGTCGTGATACCTTCAGAGGTTTGACAAGTCTTCGAGAGTTGTCAGTGACAACAAAAAAAATGTTATGAAACATATTACAGTTATACTGCCGTGATTCGGAAAAACGCATTATATCCATTGTTGAGAATTTTGAGATTTTTGGCTTAGGGGCATTCTATGGATTTAATTTATCATGTGAATTGATAATATACCCCAAAAAATGTTTATAAATATGAAATTAATATGAGAGTTACGCATTATATCCATCCACCAAAGCAAAAAAATCCGGAAGAGTGCATTATATCCACCAAGCATTAAAAAGTGAACAATCAACCAATCACAGAAGACAATGATGCATATTTAATTAGTTCCCTAGCTGGTGGAAGGGCATAATAGGACAAAATACCAAGTTTGTTTTTGATCAAAGTGCAATTAATAAAAGAAGAAGCATTATTCTTCATATTTTAAAGAATAAGAATGACCAAACTGTGGCCATAATATAAATTTTAGTCTGTATATTAGTAATTATTATTATAAATAAGACCATTCAACAAAGAAAATAAAATACATACATATAAACTTTAAAATGTTTTACTTAAGACTTTCCAATTAAGCCAATGATTGGAATTTAGATATAATACCTATGCTAAATTTATATTTAAAATATTTAGCTATATTTAAATGAGTACACTTCCTTATAATTTAAGGAAACAGAACTTTAAAAATGTAAGAGTTGAATTGTTTTCTTGGAAAAATCCTAATTTTACGAATAAAACACAGTACCATGGAATTAGAAGGCAGAAGTCTTTACCACCACGTTACATTTCTACTGTAGTATTCTGAGTAATTGGCAATTACTGGAAAACCTATACTTATTGATATATCGGTAATTTTTCTCGTTTTTAGATTTATCTTTTAAGGTATTTGTCTAATAACGAGATATCTGGTGTAATAAAAGGTGTCTTCAGTGATCTAACAAATCTTCGAACGTTGTAAGCGTAAATCCACTAAAATATCGGTTGTCGGGATTTTGATAGTCCATGTCCCAAACTAATACTAAGCAATTAGTAGAGCTCCGCATAGTACACTATAGGAACATTATTATACGAAGAAAGGAATTTCTGAAATTTTTTTAATGCATTAAATGTAACCTAAGTATAATTAATTTCCGCTAGTCTACTAATTTCTTTATAAGTCAATCGCGGTCTTTTAATGTATACAGTATTAGTTTTAATTAACCAATTACTGTTTAGCTGTCATCGGTTGCTATAGTAATATGATCAGTATACTAAGTGCGTATTTACATTTAGCTGTGCGTATGTGACCAAGGTAATTTACCTTGATGTGACTTGTGCTCCTGCAGTACGCGTTTAACTACACATCAGCAGTCAACAGATAGGAGGAATAACTACGGTCTGCCCGCCAATTCGAGACCCCCCTCTAATACGGAGACCCAGTTTTCAAAGTACCAACTGACCACCTATCTTTAAACACTGAGCTTAACCTCTAATTATGAGACCCTTCTAATTCGAGACCGAGACCACAATTATGGACGGACCAAGTGACAAAATGACCGCCAATTCAAGACCACATTAAAAAATATAATCAAACAGATTATAGGTTTTTTTAAACAATAAATACTCTTTAATTTGAGAAATTGAACTTCGAAATTATAACAAATGTATTTTCATAATTAATATATCCATATAAATAAAGGTAATCATAGGCCTACCAATAAAATCAGTCATGAAGAACAAAATGACCAGAAAGAACTATACTCGAAAACCTCGTGTTTATTTTAAGTTAGGATTGCCAATATCAAATATAGAATATATCCTATGTGTCAATCGCTATTGCAACATCTGCATTGGCTATGCACACAGGCATGTTGTGGTATTAAGAGATGAGTTGTTTTTTTAGAAAAATCCTGGTGTTACGAATAAAACACACTATGGAATTAGAAAGTAGACGTCTTTACCACCACGTTACATTTCTACTGTAGTATTTTGAATATTATATTGGCAATTACTGGAAAACTAATATACGCTCATTTATATATTTTACTTTCTCTCGTATACACGTACCGTAATGTCTTATATAGATCAAGCCCGTTATGATGAATAATGATTACAGTTGATATTTTTAGTCTTGAGAACAAATTCAGGTGTGAATTGGATTTAAAGTATAAAAAAACGTAGGCTACACTCTTTTCTTGTGTTAATGGTTCATTATTTTAAATAATAATAATAATCGTATTGTATATACTCATTTATTTTTAAAGGAATTTGCATGGTAACAAATTAACTTATCTGAAACAAGGTGTCTTCAATGGTTTGAAAAATCTTGAAACGTTGTAAGTGACAATCGTTTAATAATCTCTAATAATCTGTTTTTGAACATTAATTAAGGTATGTGTCTGGCTAATCAAATGTAGAATTTGTTCTTACATATCAATCGATTACAAACCACTCTTTAAATTCACGTATTATCGACAATACCCCATATGAGTTATCGAAAACTAACACATTTACCAATTGTGATTGATCACATGACGAGTATAATTTAGAGATTATGACAATCAGATATTATCAGTTTCATGACAATCGAGTGCATACAAAGAATATATGACTTTACAAATAATTAATTTCACACCATTTACCATTTTCACACATTACCTATTTAGTTTATATAAAATTAAATACATGTATGTATTATATAATTATGTATGTATAAGCATTATCATTTTACGTTGGTTACATACTGATTACAGCTCTAGTGTCAGTTACAAACAATATCAGTTACCAAAATAATTGTTCACAAAACTATGAGACTTCTTAATGATTTTTTCCCTCGTAGATATGATTTGATATTTTTTATTTGATTAAATTATATTCAGAAATCTGGAAAATAATGAGCTAAGGACCTACAATCCTGATATATTTGATGGACTCACTTCCCTTAAAACTTTGTAAGTTCTTACTATAAATAATTTGTACTACGGTTATCCTCTACAACTAACACAATCAAATTTCTTATAATATTACTACCATCAACAGCAACAAACATAATGATGATGATATATATTTTGTTATTTTCATTCAATGTATCACATAGATTATCGGATGAGTTCAGCATCTGCTGCATTATGAAACGTGTTCCCGACTGCCGTCCGACTACTGATCAATTTTCATCTTGTAAAGATCTCTTGAAGAGGGAAGCTTTGCGGATCCTGATGATGATTCTTGGAATTACTGCCCTCATCGGCAACTTAGCTGTTATTATATTGCGCTTGCTGGAAAACGACTTTAATGCCCAATCCATACTCATAACTAATCTTGCAGTATCTGATTTACTGATGGCGGTTTACATGATAATCATAGCAGGAGTGGATCTTTACTACAGGGGGGTGTACGCGACGTTTGCAGAGGTTTGGAAAACCAGTTTCCTTTGCAGTTTCGCCGGCTCTATCGCCACATTATCAAGCGAATGCTCGGTATTCATCTTGATGCTTATGAGTGTTGATCGTGCAATTATGATAGTTTATCCGTACAGTAGCATTCGACTCAATCGCAAAAATTGCATTAAAATTGTCGGTATTGCCTGGGCGGTCGTTATTTTTATCAGTTTCCTCCCAATGTTCAACCATATAAGCTTCATCAACATACCGTACTTCGGAGGTAACTACTATGGACGGCAAAGTGTTTGTCTGGCACTACCGCTGACAAGAGACCGATTACCAGGCTGGGAATACGCCATATCGATTTTTATCGCCTTCAACCTCTTTGGATTCGTCGTCATCGCAGTGAGTTATATTTCAATTTACATATGCGTAAAGAGAAAAGCATCGAGGGTTAAAAGAAGTCGGAGGCGCGCAAGGGAGATTAAGATGGCAACCAAGATGGCAATGATCGTCCTAACTGATTTCTGTTGCTGGTTTCCGATTATCTTGATGGGAATTGGATCCGAAGTTGGTGCATGGAAACTCCCAGCCGACATATATGCCTGGTCAGCGACCTTTATTTTGCCTATTAACTCCTCTCTCAACCCATACCTTTATACAATCGCTTATAAGTGTGACAACAAGAAAAAGTCACCGACACAGGTCGCGATAGAAATGCGTTCAGTACGGTCCAGACCTTTGCCACCGTAGGGCCGTTGGCGTCCAATCTGTTGCCAAGTGGTGCCCTGGCACTCCTGTTATCTCGCTCTTTGCCACCCGATCACTTACTGATGTCATCCAGTCAACATTCTGTAAACTATAGGGTCATGTCCTAAAATTTGAACGCCTAGAAATCAGCCTGAAATTTTCAAAGGTGCTAAAATGTATCCTTCCTTTTGATCTTACAGTTGAATAATTAACAAATATACAACAGGCAAAATAATTAATAACAAAATAAGAAACAAATTTGGCACCAGATTGCGTTTTCTATTAACTTAAGAATTGAAACTCTCCGCCCTTTGCAAAAATATTCAAAACCAAATAAAATGATCCTTCTCAGTGATTGTAGTAATGACACTGAATGTTTAGTATAATATATCACGTAAATGGATTGACTTTGAGCTCGAACGATCCACCGCTTTCTCAACTCAACTCTATTAACTTAAAAATAATAACATTTTGAAAGACATCAATTTTGCTCACTTTTTAAATGAAAAACCGGAAGCTCTTGATGTGTATTAAACACAATCCTCAGTTATATGTTTCCTTTTTAAAGTATGGGAGGGTTGTTGGCCGTTCCTAAAATCTAGAGATGTCATTTCTCATCTCAGCCTCGAACATAGGCTGAGGTAGATATGAAGTCTTACTCCTGTTCCCAATTTTTCAAAAACAGATGTAACCGGATTTCAAATGATCTTCAATTTTACAATTAAATTTTTGGAAAACACTACCATCTAACTCATCAGTACGGTGGATGGAATGCAGTTAAATATAGGACAAGTTTATGGAACCCAGTCATGAATGTTTGTGGAATATTGCTAGTCTAAATTTCCGCCCAGAATGTTGCCCTCGGGCTGGCACACTGTCACTTGACCCGAGCGTTCGTACTCTGCCTCTGTTCGAGAATCGGCCCCATTCATGACTGATTTTATTGTTTGAAAAATAGCTTTTATTTAGGACTGAGCTACACTGTAAATTAAACGTATTTTTTGCAGCTTGGGTGGACATTCTAAAAGCACACAATCATTAAATGATTGCTCCTTTATCTTTTTGACTACCTGCGCTTTACGAAATTATATAAAACAATTACATTTGCCAACAGTTTCAAACTTATTCTTTGCAGTATGATGGCTGCTGTGTTATGATTATTATGTAAATTGTTGTTATTTATTAATATTTTCGAAGTCTTGTTGTTGTAGCCTATGTAGATATGTAACGGTAATTAACCTTAGTAGTCTCATTAAGTGTAGTTTGAGTAATAACATTGTCATAGCGCCACTGAACATTGTATCCTGACCTGGATATTGGCGCTATATATCCATGATTGAATGATTGATTGTTTGAATCATTGATAGTATGATTGATTGATTATCTTAGCTTATTTATTCTATGTTTAAGAATACTAATTTGTGTCAATTTGTGAAATAAAAAAAAAATGATATAGCTATATTGTTGTCACCTAGTATGGTAATTTTAGTAGGGCATTCATTCGTCACTTTAATGGCCTAGGAGATTAGTAATTAAAATATGAATTACGATTTAATTGTAAAGTAATGATGAATTATAATAGTGTTGTATTGGTAGGTGGTGGTTTATTAGTAAAGCTGTTCGAAACGACCACAAAAGTAAGTTCCGTCGATAGTCATACGGCTACCACATGATGCAGCAATTACAGGCCTACTGGTACATTTAATTAGGCCGGGCCTACACGCAATTCTGTGGCGTTTGTTTTTTTGTTTTTTTTTTTGTTTTTTTTCACTCCGGGTTCGGAACAGTAGTATTAGACTCGTAGGTAATTAGATGTACGGTATCGACGGAACTCTTTTTACTAGACGAAAGTTACATC